AAAAAGAAAAAAAAATTAAATTACCTGTAAAGTATATTGTAAAACTGTGGCAGGTCCAATAGCAACTCTTAAACCTTCAATCGCTTCCATCACGGCATTTATAACATGAGGTGAAGTTTCGAAAATATTTGGCCAAACATAATTTAATAAATGCAAAAGTGCATCTTCACAACCAAGTCCAAAAACACCAAGTGACATGTCTATTAAATAAATAAATTGTGGTTAATTGTTGTAAAATTAAATTTTGTTCAATTTAATTTTATAAAATAAATAAAAAACATGGAATTTATAATATAATAATTATAACAACATACGTTTTACTGTAGTACAAGCTGTTTGTCTATGAACCAAATCACGATCCATCAATGCATCTTCCAATAATGGTGTTACGGCATAAATGTAATCTTTTCCCATTTCTCCGATATATTCAAATAAGAATGAAAGAGACTGAAATTAAATCAATCAATAGAGTGCGTGTTAATCATGTGTATATTCTTTAAATAACAAAATAAAAGAAAAAAGGAAAGGAATACCTTCAATACACCATTTTGAACATTCAATTCCGGTACTCGATATTCATTCATTAAAGCAGGTAAAACAGTGAACGGTGCGCAGGTTTCTGCAACAATGGCTATTTTTTTTTTAGAAAAAAAAAAGATAAACAAAATTAGATTTCTCTGAATATTCCTATTTTCTAAAAAAAAATATTTATAAACCAATTTTTTCAAAAAATCCCCACCTATTGCCACGGTGGTACAAACTCGATTTTGACGTTCTTGTACTTTCAAATTATTAAGTAGGGTAGCCAATACATCCTGAGGTCCGATGGCTTTGGCTATATAACCAAATGTATTTACGGTGGCTCGTCGAATACCTTTTTTATGAGCTTTAAGCATATCCAATAATTCGAAACATATACGCATCCATTCACGTGCACTAACAAATTCCGCTCCTCGATCGGCGATACGACCAACTAAATCAATACATGATTCTTGTACTTTCTATTATTATTATTATTATTATTATTATTATAATATTATATTTTATTTTTTTTAAATGTAAAATAAAAAAAAAAAATT